AATTAATGGAAAGTGATACTGAGGTGCTAAGAAAATGATGTGATCTAATTTATATCTTGAAATGATCATCTTCCTCCCAAAAGTAAAACAAATTAAGTTTAGAAATAGTAAAAATAAACAAAAACAGGGCTGGCAAGCTGACTCAGTGGGCAAAGACACTTGTCACCAAGCCTAACAATCTGGGTTCCATTTCAGGCCTTTCATGGTAGAAGAGAACCAACTTGTACAGGCTGTCCTCTACATGAACAGCAAGGTACACATACACACTCTAAATGTGAAATAAAGCAGAGAGATCACTTCAAGTGCAGGATGAAGACTCAATGGTATGAGAGAGGTCAGTTGGGAGGCATTTATGGCAATCCTAGTACTTGAACTAAGTCAGAGGCCAACTCAAAGATGCCAGAGCCTGCTTGGCAGTAACCAGGTTGTCATGGGGGGCGGGGGGGGGGAATGATTTCTCCACCACTAAAAAGACTTGACTTTTTCTGTTAAACTGAGTTCCACAAAGGATTCCAGCAGAACAGAAACTCATTATGAATTTTTTTTACCTTTTCTTTTAATTATCTTTCAGATGGAATCTTGCTTTATTGCCCAGGCTGGCTTCAAACTTTTGGGGTTGTGATGTTCCTGCCTTTGCCTCATAAGTAACTGAAATGAACAGCACTTACCATCACTTCTAGCTCCAACTAAAGGATTTTGTTTTTGTTTGCTTGGTCACTTTTTTAAAATAATTTAATTTTATTTCATGTGCATTAATGTGAAGGTGTTAGACCCCTTAAAATTGGGGCTACAGACAGTCGTGAGTTGCCATGTGGGTGCTGGGAATTGAACCTGGGTCCTTTGGAAGAGCAGATAGTGCTCTTAACCACTGAGCCATCTCTCCAGTCTCCGCAAGACAGGGTCTTGCATAGGCCAGGGACTAATCTGGGACTCCCTATGTAGCTGAGGATAACTTTGAATTTCTGGTCCTCCTATCTCTACCTTTCCAGTGCTGGGATTCATGAGAAGAGTATACTCCTTTGTTTTTATTTTTAGACATCTTTATGGGTGTTTTGCCTGCATATATGTCTGTGGGCCACATGCATGTCTGGTGCCCACAGAAGCCAGAAGAGTACACTGATCTCCTAAAAATGGAATCATGGATGGCTTTAAATCACCATGTTGCTGATGGGAACTGAACCTAGGTCCTTCGCACCAGCAGCAAGTGCAATTGACTGCTGAGCTCCATTTTTTTTTTTTAAGATTTATTTATCTTGGAATGTGCTTGTGCTAGTCTTAGTCTGGGCTTTACAAGAGATAGAGAGAAAGAGAGAGGGGGGAATGAGGAAGGGAGAGAGAGGGAGAGAGAAGAAGGAAGAATGGAGGGAAAAGAGGGTATATAGAAAGTTGGGCCAAGATGGAAGCAGATTAGGACATAGACTAGTGCAACAGTCAGACAAACAATCATGGCCAGTTTCCCATGGCAGACTTGCCAAATTTGGCTATATAATACCTGAGATGGCCTTCCCTCTGCGAAATGTGCTGTGAATGAAAAGAATGTGTACAAAGCACTTAGCATAGGATCTGACTATATACAGTAAACAGCGGTTAGCTGCCATTGCTGCTATCACTCCTGAAGCACGGGAGCCTGCTTTTCAGAAGGCTCTTAGAGGTGCTTGTGCTCTTAAAAATGCAAATGAAATCTCATTTCTGGCTTAAAAGCCTCAAGGGCCTTTCCATTGTGGAATGCAGAAAATTCATACTTCTTTCCCTAACTTTCAAGGTCTGGCTCTGGCCTTTGTTTTTAATCTTAGGTTCTACCACTCTTCCCCTAAGCAACTCTGATGGCTTGTCACCATCTCAGTTTCTTCTGTTTTCTCTTTCTCTAGATTTTCCCTCTGGTAGATTTATTCCATTTCATTTCAATCATCACCCTCCCTAATCACAGGGCCTGCTTCTCATGGCCAGCACACCAAATTTAGTTCTTTCACAGCACAGATTATCTTACTGCTGCTGTAGCTCAGCAGTAGAAAACCTGGCTAGCATGCATGAGGCCTTGGGTTCATTTCTCAGTTTAATTTTTAAGCCTGGTGTGGTACTAGGTACACACCAGTAATCTCAGTCTGGCCAACAAGAAACCCTGTTGCAAAAATAAAACAATATAAATGAAATAAAAATATATAGTTTACTGTTTCTCTAACTAGAATGAATCTAGTTTGTGTTCTCCAACATGGGACAGATAATACTGTTTCTAGAATCTCAAATGCAGGGAAGGACACCAGTTGGTTAAACTTATAAGCCTAATAGTAGCACAATTAACATTTATAAATTTACATAGGGAATTAAAATAAAGACCTATCAATATTTACAGATATGATTCTAAGCATCTGTAAAGGTGAACTGCAAATGCTTTTATGTAACAAACCACCAACTTCCTTAGACATCAACATTCCTGAAACAAGCGCTTAGATTTTTCTGTTAAAACACATTGACTCTTTACTTGGACCAAACCAAGGTAAATAAAAACAGTATAAAAACCTGGAATCTTTGCCTGCATTTTCTGTTTTGTTGACTTCAGCTGAAAGGGCAGAGTTAAGTCATCCTTAACCTTTCTTCGAGTTACCTAGGAATCATGGGACAGGAGATTCTTGCAGGACAGATGGTAGTAATTATCCATGAGGGCATACCCTGCAGCAGAGAGATACCTGGAGGAACCAAGATGACTCCCTCAAGGGAGAAAAGATAAGAGGGATAAGGGTTTCTTGGGCTCATCTTGCAAAACCAAAACTGAGACAATTATCAACCAGATCATACCTTGATCAGGACTACTTAATTATACCTCTCTTACATTCTTTCCCCAGCTTTCTCAGTTGCTCTAAACCTCATGCTGGTCCTCTGGAAGGATTATCTTGGAGTCACCGGACCCCTTTATTTATCCTTCTCAACACTGAAACATTGACTCTCCTTTTCACAATGATTTGTCTTTTAAGTGCATTTTGGGGATGGGTGGCTGACTCTAGCTTGTTAGGGTTGCTTGGGACAGGGCTTCTGCCTCCACCCCCTATAAAACCCCCAGTTACAATTCCTAAAATGGATATATGCTTTCCTATCTCTCTAAACAAGTTCAATATAATTTTGTTTTGTCTTTATTAGCATCCATTTTACAGGACTGTAATGAAAATGAAACCCTGGAGGACTGAGGTAAGTTATGGGCATTCATTCCTATACTAAATAGCCACAGGAAAGTACAGCTTCTTTCAAATTTTATTCTTCCTCTAACTTAGACTATTACCCCAAAAATGACTGCTCCCTCTTAAAAACTCCCATTCCCTGTCTTACAAACTGACTATTTTTGATCTGTTGAGAGTTGGTTTTTAATCCAGGCACAGTGGCACATGCCTGTAATCCCAGCACTCAGGGAGGCATTGGCAGGAAGATCTCTGAGTTTGAGGCCAGCCTGGTCTACAAAGCGAGTTGAGGACAGCCAGAGCTACACAGAGAAACCCTGTCTCAAAAAAAAGTTGGTTTGTAAAAATGACATAATTAGGGAGGAGGTAATATAACTCAGGAAGCAGTGTCTAACATGGACAAAGTACTCGGAGAAATTGGGTATAATTCCAGAACCTGGGAGGCAGAGGCAGAAGGATTAAGAGTCTAAGGTCATTCTCAGCAACAAAGTTCAGTTCAAGGCCAGGCTAGGCCCAGCGAGATCTCAACAAAATTATTAGCATTATATATATATGTAACTGCAAAGAGGCTTTTTTTCCCAGCTGTTAGCTACACTTCTGGCTGGGTTAGGCAATCAGCTAAAACATTATACTAAAAACTAAAAATTCTTCATGATAAACTGCAGCAAATGTCAGGCAGATCTGGGTTAATAAAATCTGGGCTGTGTCATGGTTTAGCGAGAACTTGAAAAATTCATTTGTTTTCCAAATAATACCTAATGCTACTGGAACATTTGCTATGTGTCAGCTTATTGTCCTGTTTCACCTGCACTATTACTATAGCCCATGGAGAAGACAGGACTGGGCTAGTGAGATAGTTCAGGAGGTAAAGGAACTTGCTGCCATACCTGATGACCTGAGTTCAAGTTCTGACACCTACAAGATAGAAGAAGAGAACCTATTTGAAAAAGTTGTCCTCTGACCTCCACACACCTTCTATGGCATGAGTGCACCCCTCCAAAAGATATAAAAAGAGAAAGTGACAACACCACCGCCACTAACAGGTTCTAAAGGTAAGTAATTGGATGCCCAATCACTACTAAGTAAGCAGATAATCTAGCCCAGTGTAGGGCCAGAGCTCTTAGCTACCTATTCATTCAACAACCATCATGTGAGCTCCTATTTTCTGGGCACTGATCAATTCACCTAATGCACACTAGCGAATGAGACAGATGGCAAGTCAGCTATAATCCACATCCTCCACATCCTTGGGAGGCAGAGGCGTCATGAATTTGAGGCCAGCATGGGCTAAGAAGGCCCTGCCTAGATGCAGGCAAGTCAAAAAGATCAGTGTTTTTTTTGCCACCTGGACATGATGGCACACCCCTTTGATCCAAGCACTAGGGAAGTAGAGGCATATGGATCTCTGTGAGTTCAGAAGGCAGCCTGGTCTACATAGTCCCAGGACAGCTCAAACTCAATAAGAGAGACCTTGTCACAAACAAAGTGCTTTGCCTGCTATGGAACTTACATTCTAGCAGGGGGTTGGGCAAATAGAAAAAAATGAATACAAATGAAAATTACATGGCATTCACTTCATACTGCCAATAGTGCTTATTAGGGGGTTACTGTTTTACCTACAAAAACTAGTCATCTCACTTGGCTCAACCCAATACAGGTTACTTGCAATGCTTGGTGAGGACTACAATTAAATTAGGTCTAAAACTTAAGGAAAAGGTAATCAATGGAAAACTGTACTAAGTGAATTTCTAGAGAAATGATAGGCATGCAGCATTCCCTTAAGAGATAGCCCTTAGTTTTAAGAACTTTTACACTAAAGAATTTAAAAAGTGATAAAATTTTATATTTTTATTGATTTGCATTTAAAAGAAACTGTTGACAAAGATTCACTGAAATAATTCAAGTGGGAAAATACAGCAAACACGGCTAAAATGTGTTTATTTCACTGAGCAAAACCTCTTAGATTACTGTTACTGACATGAAACTGAGTGCTTCAGACTGTTCTAGACACATGGTGGCATAATTAACAATATTCATTCACATCATTCTCTCTTGAATATATAAAAATTAAAATACCAATTAAAAAACTAATATATCTTCTCTTTAAATGCTTCTTACAGATACAATCTCAGTATTATTATTTAATAGTGGTAATTTAAGGGATTTGTTTTACTCACAAGGTAAGCAATAATCCTACCGAAGGGAACTGATAGTCTGCCTATAGGCTCATAGTGCAAATCAAAAGTTCAGGAACTCAGCAACATACATTTCTAAAAATAAACAGACATAAAATTCTCAGAAGGGTCATGCAAAAAGCTTTAGTAAGCAGATGGCCACAGAACTAGAAAGCTCGCTATTTACTGGCAACATCAACGGGACTCCTCGTGTTTGAAGATTCAACTTGCACTCTTGTCTTAGGCTTTGTATTTGGCTTTTCCACTTTCACTAATGACACAAACATGCTATAAAAGAAAAGAAACACATTAGTGGCCAGGGTAAGTGATTAAAAAAGATGTACTAAAAACTATGCTTTAGAGAATGCTTCCATAACTAACAGCATTATCTAACTGTTCCTAACTGCTCCTGGACCATGTTCATGAACTCACCCGAGGGACTCCTGCCCCCAGAGAGTGGGAGGCGGATATCTGAAGCAGAGTCCATTATGAGATTTTAAACAAAACCGTTTATTTTTTACTTATGACCATATTTATCATGTGAAATAACAATGAGACAGTTACTGTATATTAAAGCTGTTCAACTATTTCAGCCAGCAAAAAGTGTCACCCTAGCCTGGCCAAGTTCCAGTTCTAAGGACGTCTGTACTTGACTACAGCTTTATGCGACTAATGGGAACCATCAGTCTGGTCAAATTATGAGGTGCTGGAAGGAGAAAACAATTCTTCCCTTTCCTAAATTTTTATGTGGGTTTTTGAAAAATGAGAGTGAGAAAAAAAAAGAAGAAGAAGAAGAAGAAGAAGAAAAAGCATTACTTACATTCAAATCCCTGAAGTACTCATTATAGTCAAGGGCATATCCAACAACAAACTTGTCTGGAATTTCAAATCCAACAACTGTAAACAAAGAATCAGTTTATTCTTTAGGTAGAGAAACTCATACTTTCAAATTTAATACTTGCAAATGTGCCTTCTTTACAAATGTTCTGTAAAGTAACTCTAAGCCATTCCATAGTTAGCTTTTTCAGTTTTAATGATTGACCAAAGGGCATCTACTTACAGTCTGGCCTGTATCCAACACTTCGAGGAGTCCTTTTCACCAGCAAGCTGTTAATTACAAAAAAAAAAAAAATTACATGTGACATACGGAAAGACAACAGAGCATTACAAAAGAAAACATCAATGATCTTAAGTAGTATTATCTGCATTTAGAATATGGTCAACTTAGCATATCCATAGGGAGACTGAAATGGAGAACTAAATCAGAGTTCACATGAACGTCAATGGCCCCTGACTGATCAGCACCTGGAACCTCGTAAGATGCTTCTGAGAGCAGAATTTTAACTACCTGTATGTCTATTGAAGTGCTGCTACCATTCGGTTAGGGAGTGCCAATAAGCAAAGATAAGGGATCTAGATGCAGAAATCTAACTAGTAAACCTAACTAGTAAACAACCCTTAGACTAGTAAAGAAGGTGGGTAAAAAATGCTTTCATCAAGACTTTTAATAACTGGCTCACAAATGGGAACTTCAAGCTACAAAGAGTAGTGTGGGGGCTGGAGATTCGGCTCAGAGGTTAAGAGCACTCACTGCTCTTCCAAAGGTCGTAAGTTCAATTCCCAGCAACCATATGGTAGCTCATAACCATCTATAGTACTATCTGGTATAAAAGCAGAATGTTGTATAAATAATAAATCTAAAAAAAAAAAACAGTAGTGTTAAAAGAACCTTTTTTTTAAAATTTTTTGTGGTCCAGAGCCTTGTTGATGCTAAGAACATACTCTAGTACCCAGGAACAATGGCACACTCTGTAATCGCAGCATGCAGGGAACCAGGGGCAAGCAGATCTCTGTTAGTTTGAGGCCAGCCAGGTCTACAAGGCCAAGGGAGAAATCCTGTCTGGGGGGGAGGAGGAGAGTGTGCTCTAAGCTGGGCAGTGGTGGCACGCACCATTAATGACAGCATTTGGGAGGAAGAGGATGGGGAATTCTCTATGAATTTGAGGTCAGCCTGGTCTGGAGTTCCAGGACAGTCAGAATGAGAGAAACCCTGTCTTGAAAAACCAGAAAGAGAAAGAGAGAAAGAAGGGGGTGGGAATGGGAAGGGATGGTAGGAGGAAGGAAGAAAGAACTCTACCGATGAATCCCCCCCCCACTTCATTTTTTAGTTAACTACATTTTCAACTATTTGACTCTTGCTACAAATAAGTTTTGGGCAGTTTTATTTTTTAAAGTTATACTGCTGTTATTTATAGAAATCATGACTTTGCAAATGTAGTTGAATTACATAATTATAACTATATATAAATTTAAATGTAATTATTTGAATGCTTGTCGTGTTCTCACACAACCTGAGTTGAATCCCTAGTACCTTCCCCCCCCCCCCCGAAAAAAAAAACCAATGGCTTTCAAAATTTTTATTTTCGCACTAAGTCACAAAAGAAAAAAAAAAATCACATAGAAAGGAGGTTCTTGGGTCTTTTTTCAGCAGATTGTCACAACCCGAACATGGGCCTTGGTGAACTAAGTGACCTTGTGCAGACTTCACCAAATTTACATCTCTGTCCAGTTCAGACAATTTAATCACACATAGATTAATCTCATCACTATCACAATCAAGATACATTGATTCATACAAGGCTCCCACCCTGTACTCTCTTAAGCCCTGGCAACTCCTGATCTGTTCTTATCTATATAATTTTGTCATTTCAACAAAGACTATATAAGTAGAATCATAGTTTCATTACTTTGACCTTGGGGACAGTGTCCTACTAGCCTTGGGGGAAAAAATGGGGAATTTTTACATATATCAAAAACAGGGGCAGATAAACGGTTTAAACAGAAAAGGCAAAACACCTGCTTTATACACCGCTGAAAGTGCCATAATTGGTATGGTTCCTGTAATACTCATCTCAGCTGCGACGTATTGACAGCTGTTCCTACTTATTGCTGATTTGATCGCATAGGTGTACTGCAGTTGTGTTCAAATTTCGTTGCTTTTAATTCTGGCCTGCCATAAATGATGCGAACATTCATATACAGATTTGAGTAGGGAGGTATAAGACAGGTCCTCATTATATATAGCTCAGGCTGCTTGTTTCAAATTCAATGAATGTGATCCTGCCTCCACTTTCCAAACGCTGAGATCACAGGGGTGAACTACCATACCTGGCTGTCAACTTATACAGATTTGTACATCAACATATATTTTCACTTCTAAGGGATAAGTACTCAGTACAGTTTCGGAGGCCTTTTGGTAGTGAAATGTGTAGTTTTTAAAGAAACTACTTTGTAAACCGGGTGTGGTAGCACACAGCTGTAATCCCAGCACTCTCGGAGGCAGAGGCAGGCTGATCTCTTTCACTTTGAGACAGAAATCCTGTCTTAAAAAAAAAAAAAGAAAGAAAGAAAAGAAACTGCTTTCTAGAGTGGCCATACTATCTTACATTCCTATGAAATAAAAACTTTTTCATGTTTAATTTGGGAAAGACCAAACACACTTGTGTAGGACAAGTACATACTCAAGTATTCCCTGAGCACATCTCACCTCCAGCAAGACAGAAACTCACTGAGGTATATTTGTACCATCTATCAGAAAAGTCCATGAGGATGAACTGCTGTAGTATCTTATTAAAATTATAGAGATTCAAAGACTTTACAAACACTGCCATCCTGTGTTCCACCTGAACCAGGACAAACAAGGTAGAGACAACCAACTCCCCCAGGCTGTCCTCTGACCTACAAAAGTGCACGTGCCACATGCCCATATCCCGGGCACAATAAATAAGTGTAATTAAAAATTTGAGAACCAGTTAATCATTCAGGAAAAGAGTTGACCTTTTGTCTACACACGCGCGCGCACACACACAAATCACATGTAAGTCAAGATTTTAAGAATAAAAGATTTTAAGATTTTAAAAATAAAAATGAAGTCAAGACGGTGGCACACACCTGTAATCCCAGTCCTTGGGAGGCAGGCAAATCCCTGTGAGTTGGAGGCAAGCCTGGTCTACAAAGCAAGTCCAGGACAGAGAGAAACCTGTCTCAAAAAATTCAAACCAAACCAAACCAAAAATAAAATAAAAATGAAATTATAAAGTAAAAACAAAGCAGAAACCATCAGCAACAAAACTAAAAAGATATTGCTTTTAACAATAAAACCAAATTTAAAATCACAGGAGCATCAACTCTCTATATTCACATGTTCACATCTTCTCTCTATAGTTTATTAACTCTGTATCTATGGGCAATTTCTTAGGCTTCAGCATCCTCAACTATAAGGTAGAGATAGATAAGAACTGTTGTAGGATCAAACTATAAAACTAAAGATAAAAACAGGAAGAACTATGAAAGAAAGTGAAGCCAAACATCCAGGTATAGCAAGATGTGAGACTGCTTCAGAAAAAGGAAGCAAGCAAGCATAAAATTTCAATGACAACACAAAACAGGATGCCTTATTCACCACTCAAATCCAGGAGATGCAAATGTTCAGGGCCCACTACTTGCTACTACCTTTGGTATGACTGGTTTCAGTTTCACAAGAGGACCCTGGATTCTCTGCCATGCTACTAAGGACAAGTTAGATATACACTCTCAGTATTTGGAGGCTGATGCGGTGGCACAAGCCTGTGATCCCAGCACTTGGGGAGTCGAAACAGGAGGATCTCTGTGAGTTCGAGGCCATCCTGGTCTACAAAGCGAGTACAGGACAGCTGAGGCTACACAGGGAAACCCTGTTTTGAGGGGAAACAAAAAAAGATTCCCAGTATTGACATAAAAAACTGTCCATGGCTACATGTGCTTGTGACCCCAGCACTAGGGTTGGAGATAGATTCCAAAAATCCACCCACCAGCCTACACAACTAAAACTTTGAGCTTACAGCTCAGTTCTCAGAGACCCTGTTTCAGACTGAGTAAATGACAATAGAGGAAGATATTCAATCCTGGTTTGGCCTTTGCATCTGTGCACTTGAGTGTGTATGCACCTACACAACTCACACACTACACACATAAATAAAAAAATATTCTAAGTAACTATACCACAGATATACATATTTTCCTAAATGATTAACATAATCATGACATTAACAGTGTAATAGGTATTAAATATATGAGAATATGCATAGGTTCTGTCCAAACACTCTTGAAATTAAAAAATTAATTACATTTATTTGTGTGTGTGGTGGTAGCATGTGTCATGGTACACACATGGAGGTCAGAGAGTCAGTTCTCTCCTTCCACCACATGGATCCCAGGAATTGAAGTTAGGCTGTCAGGCTTGGCAGCAGGTGACTTCATCCATTGAGACATCTCACCAGCCCCTCTAGCATTCTTTATGAAGGACTTGAGCATCTAGTGAGCTTAGTGTCTGAGGTGGTTCTGACTCCAAGGCCAAGTACATACTGTATTAGACGAGGAGTTGATTATAATAAAGGACTTCATTAACACACAATAAAATTATAAAAGATTAAGATTTAATATTACATTTTTCTTTAAAGATAAAGTGAGAGCTGAAAGCATTTCTCCTTACAAAAAAGCAATTACTTAATGCTCAAACTAAAGAAAACATTCCACTTTAAAATATCATACATACCTTGCAACCTTAACCATTTTGGGACTGTACTTCTGGACCAAGGAAAGCAAAGTTTGCATTGTTTTACCAGTGTCAATTATATCCTTTAAAAAAAGGGAGACATTTAATGGTAAATAAACCCAGCATAATTTTAAAATCAGTCATACAAACACAAAACACCAGAACCCAGTAATTTCATGGTACAACATTATTTTTTCAGCACATGCACAAAATCTCACCACAATTAACACAGAGTTAGGCTGAAACTTGTAACCTGTCTGGCTATCAGGAAGCAGTAGAAATGTCAGTCCCCAGAACTAGATTGCATAGGTTTGGCAAGGTCAAAAATAGTGAAGTGAAATGTGTACATGCCCAGGCAGTAGGGGTACATGCCTTTAATCCCAGCACTTGGGAGGCAGAGGCAGGCGGATCTCTGTGAGGAAAGCCTGGTATACAGAGTGAATTCCAGGACAGCCAAGGATAAACACAGAGAAATTGTTTCAAAAAATCAGAAAAATAAAAGAACTGTTTACATGTAAGCATTATACATATACACAATCTTTCGTTGTTTTTTTTCACACAGGGTCTAGCTATGTAGCTCAGGTTGGTGGCATTAAACTCAAGATCCTCCTGCTTTAGACTCCTAACAGTTGGGATTGCAGGCATAAACTACCATGTTTAAGTCTATAAAAGACATACTACATTTTTCTTTGTAAATTAAATATAAGGATTCTTTATCTCAAACTCTTGATATCCTAAGAAATCCTACTCCATTTTATTTATATATTTAATTTGGTTTTTTGAGGTAGGGTTTCTCTGTGTAGCCTTGGCTGTCCTGGACTCACCTTGTAGACCAGACTGGCCTTGAACTCAGAGATCCGCCTGCCTCTGCTTCCCAGAGTGCTGGGATGACAAGTGTTTGCCATGGCGCCCAGTTGCTTCATTTTATCTTTAAAGGCATCCAATTTGCTAAGTTTTACTATATAAAATGACTGTTTCAGTGGTAAAACACCCTTGTAAGATCCACTGCGACTGAGATCGCCAGCACTATAAAAAATAATTAGGAAATAAAAATCCATAAAGCAGTGCAGACCACAAGAAATATCAGCGATAGCAACTTGTGAAAAATGCAGATTCTAGGGTGTGACAGGAGAGAACGTTGACAGGCGCCAAAATTACTGCCCTCTAGAGTACACACTGGAAGAACTTCTACCTCCGGGCGGTGATCAGGATCTGTGACCATACCTTATATAGAATAATTTCAGTAGCTAGAGAGAGAACTCTACTGCTGGTCTTGAAGAAGTCAGCTGTCAGGTTGTGACAGGTCTGAGTAGCAAGACATGAGTGATGATCTTTGTAGCTCATAGCCACCCGAGGCTAATCAGAAAGAAAACAGTCCCTCATTTGGACAATTAAACAAAGAAGAACTATAAGGTGCTTTCATCCTGAGTGCTCTTTTTTAAAATTTGCATGTATTTATTTGTGAGGTGTGCATACATAAAACCTGCCATGGTTCAAGACCAGCCTAGTCTATATAGCAAGTTCCAGGACAGCTAGGGCCATATAGTGAGACCGTATCTTAAAAAAAAAAAAAAAAAAAAGTGAAAGAAGCCAAATACAAAACGCAGTTACTATGTAATTCCATTTATGTATGTCCTCAAAAAGCAAATCTTAGAAAGCAGAGAATGGGAAAGAAGAAGTAAGAAATGATGGCCAAAGGAATTGGATCTCTCTGTAGAGAAACAATGTTTTGTTTCTTAAGATTTATTCTGTATATTGTTCTGCCGCCACGTACATCAGCACGCCAGAAGAGGGCACCAGATCTCATTATAGATGGTGTAAGCCACCATGTGTTTGCTAAGAATTGAACTCAGGACCTTCAGAAGAACAGAAAGTGCTCTTAACCTTTGCGCCATCTCTTCAGACCAGAAACAATGTTTTTATATTGTTACTTAATGAAAACATTTCGGTCCACCAGATGCCTCTGACATGCAGAGGCAGGTCATCCTGGTCCACATCTACACTAAGGGGGAAAAAAAGCTATCTTGAGTCGAACAAGTTCCTGCTGAAGAAAAAAGGAAGGAGGAAGAATGGGAAGGTGGGCAGTAGAGATGGAATAAGAAAGGGAGGGGGGGGCGAAGGGGAGGTGAATGATGGTAGATGCCTGTAATCCCAGCACTTGACTTAGGAGGTATACGAAGGTGGATGAAGTTAAGAGTCTAGCCTGGGGTGGGAAGTGGTGGGCATACTATTAATCCCAGCACTCCAGATGCTGGGGCAGGTGGGTATCTGTGAGTTCGAGGACAGTCTATAGAGTGAGTTCCAGGACAGCCAAGGCTACACAGAGAAACCCTGTCTTAAAAAGAGTCTAGCCTGGGCTACTTATCTACCTCTTTCTCAAACACAAACACACAGACAGACAAACAAACAAAACAAAACAAAATCAGAGGGTGAAGCCTAGTGATAGAATACCTGTTTAGCATGCTCTGGGTTTGATCCCTAGCAGCACACATAAAAACAAAGAAAATCACTTTTGTTAAAAAATAATAAGGGCTGGAGAGGTAGCTCAGTGGTTAAATATACTAGCTGGACTTTTATCTCAACTTGTTTTTTGTTTGTTTGTTTGTTTCTTTTTTAGAGCTGAGGATTGGACCAGGGCCTTGCGCCTAGCCAGTGCTCTACCACTGAACTAAATTCCCAATCCTGGATTTGTATCTCAGCACTCACAAAAACCAGCATCTTGCTCCGACCTGCAATCCAGGTCTAAGAAGACAAGAGGCAGGAGAATTGCTGGGGTTTACTGGCTTCCAGCCTATAGAAGAAAATGTGAGCCCCAGGTTCAGGGAGAGACCCTGCCTCAAATGAATAGACAGCACAAAAGGAGGGCATGCATCCTCTCCTGGCCTCTGTTCTTGTGCATGGGCATGCATACTTGCACACACATGATTATACACTCAAGCACACAAAACAATGTACAAAAGTACTATTACAAAAAGCAGAAAGGAAATAAGAGCAAAATAAGCAACTAGGGGCAGAAAATGATGATGGAAAAATGATGGTCTGGGAAATGGGCAAAGTATAGAGAAAACGAAAGGTGATGGAGAGTGAGGCTGATATGTATTCTGAAGTCATACTGGAAAATGTATACTGAAGAACTGAAGAATAAAGTCAAGATAGGAGGATGATCATAATATATGCTGTATAGGTATGTATAGCTCAGTAAAGCAGACACATAATAAATAGGAAGACTACAGACAAAAAAATAAGTGTGGGCATATGTGTGTGCTGTTAAACAATGGTGAGTAAAAAAAATACTGAAAGGAACAAGAAGTTGGAGACATGGAAATGGAAGATTTTATATAGGATAGCCAAAGAAGCCTTAATGAGAAAGTAACTTCTAGATAAACAATAGTTCTTCAAGCTTAGCCTGCATCAGAATCAGCTCAAGGTTTGCTTATTTTCATCACAAAGATTCTGAGTCAGTAGGCTCCTGGCTGATGCTTTTGGATTTAAGGGATCCCACTGAAAAGCAATAAGCTACAGATAGTGAAGGTTTGAGTTTTTACTCCACTCACTGCCTGGTAACCTTGGGAATCTGTTTGCCCTCCCTGTGCTTGATTCTCCATCATTTACAGTAGTAGCTGACAAAGTGAGCCCTGGATAAACATTATTGTTATTACATACAAAGTACTCAAGGATGTGATAACAAATGGACTGTATTTTTTTTTTATTTTTTCTTTCCTTTATAAGAATATTTGAAATGGGATACAGAGCTAAACAGAGAAATCTCTGCAGAGGAATTTCGAATGGCAGAGAAACACTTAAAGAAATGCTCAACCTCATTAGCCATCAGGGAAATGCAAATCAAAACAACCCTGAGATTTCACCTTACACCCATCAGAATGGCCAAGATCAAAAACTCAAGAGACAACACATGCTGGAGAGGTTGTGGAGAAAGGGGAACCCTCCTCCATTGCTGGTGGGAATGTAAACTTGTACAACCACTCTGGAAAGCAATCTGGCACTTTCTCAGACAACTAGGAATAGCGCTTCCTCAAGATCCAGCTATACCACTGCTAGGCATATATCCAAAAGATTCTCAAGTACACAATAAGGACATTTGCTCAACCATGTTTGTAGCAGCCTTATTTGTAATAGCCAGAAGCTGGAAACAGCCCAGATGCCCCTCAGTGGAATGGATGCACAAATTGTGGTATATCTACACAATGGAATATTACTCAGCAATAAAAAACAAGGAAATCATGAAATTTGCAGGTAAATGTTGGAATCTGGAAAAGATCATCCTGAGTGAGCTATCCCAGCAGCAGAGAGATGCACACGGTATATACTCACTCATATGGACATATAATATAGGATAAACCTACTAAAATCTGTACACCTAAAGAAACTAATCAAGAGGGAGGACTCTTGCTAAAATGCTCAATTCCTACTGAGAAAGGCAAAGAGGCTGGACATCAGAAGAAGGAGAAAAGAGCGGATAAGTCAGGAGCCTGACACAGAGGACCTCTGAAAAGCTCTGCCCTGCAGACTATCAATGTAGATACTGAGACTTATGGGCAACCTTTGGGCAGAGTGCAGGGAATCTTAGGAAAGAAGTGGGAAACAGTAAGATGTGAATAGGACAGGAACTCCATAAGGAGAGCAACAGAACCAAAAAATCTGAGCACAGGGCTTTCCTGAGACTGCTATTCCAACCAAGGACTATGCATGGTGATAACCTAAGACCCCTGCACAGATGTAGCCCATGGCAGTTCAGTATCCAAGTGGGTTCCATTGTGATAGGAACAGGGACTGTCTCTGACATGAATGAACTGATTGGCCTGCTCTTTTAATTACCTCCCCTTGAGGAGGAAGCTGCATTACCAGGCCACAGAAGAGGACAAGGCAGCCACTCCTGATGAGAACTAATTGACTAGGATCAGAAGGAAGGAAAAGAAGTCCTCCCCTATCAATGGACTTGGGGAGGGGCACGCATGCAGAGGGTAGAGGAAGGGAGGGATTGGGATGGGAGGAGGGAAGGAACCATGAGGGGGATACAAAGTGAGTAAAGTGTAATTAATAAAGAAAAATAAAATAAAAAATAAAAAAAGAATATTTGATATTCATATTATTTAAATGAAATGTTAGGAACCTTATAACATTCCATAAAATGAAATTTAAGACACTAAATAAATCACACACACATGCAGACACACCCCTCCATAGTCACTGCTAGTTTTAAAAGAAAAAATATCAAAACCAAATGAGGAAGCATATAACTTTTTTTCATGAGCAGCAAAATATAACACTTAGAAAAAACATTTTTTTGTTTGTGTCTTTTTGTTTTGTTTTTAAAACAAGGACTCTCTGTGGCTTTGAACTCACTATGTAACCCAGGCTAACCTAGATGGAATTCGTGAACCTCCCGAGTGTCTGGGATTCCAGGCATGACCTACTGTCCCTGGCTTCTCTTAGTGTTAGAAAACACAAGTCTCCCTGGCTTACCTTTATTATGTTACACACTAATTAGAAAATTGTAAACAGTATATTAAAAGTTGATGCAGAACTTACTTCAACAATCAAGACATTCTAAAAGAAAAAAGAAAAATGAAAATTAGTATACAAAGTGAGATTGCATTTCCAATCAGTTAAATCATAACAAACTCTTAAGAAGCTACCCAAACTATTATAAGTACTTTATTATACTGAATCCTGCTTGAAAAAGTGGACTATTAGAAATCAGAAGTTCTTAATATTAAGTCTTTCATAAAAAGAATATTTGATTTATATGTTCGCTTTTTTATAAAAAAGCTTTTAACCCTTTATACAAGATCTTCAGCAATTTGTTGAAATTTCTCTGGGTCTCAGTGTCCCGTATATAAAACAATAAACTTGAACCAGCTGGCCCTTTATGTATCTTGACCCTAATATTCCATGAAATGTAATCAGTATAAATGCCTCCAAAAATCATGTATTTAATATAACAGAGAATGCAATTAAAGTTTTACTTTCTCATAAGCTAAAACTAGTATGGTTGTGCACATGTTTGGGAAATTGCACTAAGTAAAGATACCAATACTTCCTTCCACCATAAACCCTAAACACATTTCAACCCACTCTTTTCTTTTACTCTGTAGCCCAGGCTGGCCCAGAACTCATATGTAGCCAACACTGTCCTTAAACTGGTAACATTCCTGTCTCATTCGGCTGAAAGCTAAGATTACAGCTGTGATTTACCATGCCTGGTTCCTCACTCACCCACCTGTATTTATACTAGTTAAGAGAAACAAGGCAGTATTTCACATGCCCACAATATTGACTGTACAGATTTATTCTATAGTGTTTATCTATGTAGTTCTCAATGCACTCTGTCAAACAACCTTAACATCAGATCTCTCTTATTTTAAGCTAGTGGTTATCAAAATCCATTTCAGTTTCATGAAAATTCAAAACTCTTTTCTACCTTGTGGTATTTTGAGAATGGCCCTCATAGGCTGTTACATTGGAATGCCTGGTCTCTAGTTTGTGGATCTGTTTTGGGAAAGATTAGTAGGTGTGGGTCTTGTTGGAGGTGTGTCACTGGGAGTGGGCTCTGCAGCTTCAAAAGTCCACAACAGGCTCCGTCTCTAGTACTCTCTGCATCTAACATGCAGATAAAATATAAGCTCCCAGCTACTGCTCGGGTGCCATGCTGTCTGCCACCAGGCTCCCCTCCCGGATGGCTATGGACTCACCCTATGAAACTGTGAGCAAATTCCCAATTAAATGCATCCTTTCCTAAGTTACTTTGGTCATGATGTATATTCACAGTAAAAGAAAAGTAATGAAAGACATACTCCATCTTGTTTAACCTATAGTTTTAAGTACTTTATGAGATAAATTACTACCAAAATTCATATATAATGTAGAAATACATATGCTGTGGTAAGTCCTTGAAAACTGCTTAGCAACTGAGCATGAAAACCAAAGTTTGGAGGATCACAGCTTATGCATTAAAAGTAAATTATAATCAAGAAAAACTTCTAATATGCCTATGTTTCAAAGCAGTTTATCATAGAAGGCAGTATCTCATCATCCTGCATGGGTCTAAGAATAGAATCAAGCAAGGTTAGCTCAGAACTTCTGCCAGGCAACCCACAACTGAAGCCTGTTCTATAGACAGGAAAAAAGGTCACTTTAAATCTCAGGATATGCATAGGAAAGAAAACAGATATAAAAAAATTTGGGACAATCTTAAGCTACAAAGCAACTATGTTTTTATTATTATTATTATTATGAGGTCGTATATAAATTCTAAGTGAACTGAAAATACATTAATATACTGAGGGAAAAAAGCAATTTATCTATTCAAATGATAACTAGTATAGTGTAAGAAACATAGATACAGGACTAAGACATTCATATGTTCACATTCATATGTGGTTCTGTCACCTAATAGTTATAGATTGGTAAGGAGCATGGGCTTCTGGGACAGAGACTGAATTACTTGTGCCTAACACTAAATGACCTTGGTTGAGATCTAATTATGCATTTTAATTCTTTACATTTATTTTACATTTCAGTTGAGACGTTGTAACACAACTCACATGTAGAGGTCATCAGGCTAGTAGCAAGTGTCTTCCCACATCAAGCCATCTTGCTGGCCCATCACTAGATTTTATTTAGTATAAGATACCTTATTCAAATCAATAAAGCCCAGAAAGATTAAATGTTTGAACAGTACAAAACTGTACTGTTCTAATACAGAGACTGAGAATTGCTACTGCTGAGAATTTATTTTATGTCAGCTAGCTACATGTCTACTTAATAATTAAAACAATGAGGCTCAGGCATCAAAATGACTTACCTAAAAGTAGTAAACATAGAAAAAAGGAAGAAGGATTAGAATAAAAGTGGACTTTGGATCCAAAGCCTGTGTTCTTAAGCATTAATGGGAAAATGTTGGCATATATCTGTGACTTGCACACACTTTAGATACATTTCCAAAGAAAAAAATAAAAACGTTTCAAATAATCCATAATCTCATCACCAAGATTTAACTTTGCTTAATTTTTATTCCTTGATTTCTTTTCCATAATAAATGGAATCTACTGTGGCTGTCATAAAGTTATTTTAGAAGAAGAGATATGTTTACAGTCACAGAGCTCTGTAGTGGGACAGAGCCATTAGGCGAAAAAGACAAGGTCAAACTAAATCACAGAAGGATTTGAAGGCTAGGCACCTGCCAGCACCGAAAACTGATTATAGAAGTGCAGGTTTCAAATAGCTTCTAAATATGGACAAAGTGTGCTGAAAGGGAAGGAGGTCTGGCAGGTGTACACTAAATGGACAGCAGGGGAAAGAACCAACACATGACAAGTTCTCCTCTTTAGTTTCTAAACACTGCTCAAGGCAACGTTAATTTGGCATGGCCCCAATAGAGAATTATAGGATTTCACAAGTGTTTTAGGTTAAGGTTCCCCTACAGATGTTCAGTGAAGTGACTAGTGAGCACTAAAATCTAAAAGCTAGAGGAAAGAAAGAGCTTTGGTGTCTGCATTCAAGCTCTTCTACTTGTGTTGTGTGACTTGGAGACTGTGAGGCAGTTTTCATCTCATAATCCCATGCAGTTTTTGAAATTTTAAGTGTACGCCTTAATTTCCTGATCTGTAAAATGGAAATATAACTCCCTACACCAGATTACTGTGAAATTTACCAGATTATTACATTTACATATGGCACACTCTCTGCAAGTAAACAATAACTAGCAGCTTAGAAAACATGTAGTCTATTAGTACAGTCTTGTGATCCTAGCATTTGGGAAGCTGAGGCAGGAGGACCACCATGAGTTCAAGGCCTATCTAGCTTACATAGGAGATGTTTAAGATTGATGTGGACTACAAAGTGAGACGATGTCTCAGAAAAACAAAACAAATGCTAGTGAGATAGCTCAGGGGTAAAGGGACTTGGTACCAAGCCTGAATCTATATGACAGAAAGAACTGACTCCTTTAAGCTGTCCTCTGACCCCCACACACTCATGCATCTCACACATACATACATGCTTGTATACACAGAAATAAACCAATGTTAAAAAGTAACAGAATAAAGTAAGAAAATGCTACAAATTTCTCCCATAGTAGTGAATTTATTTGCAGTATTTATTTACCAGCAACTGATGTAAGAGCTCTACCAATATTATATCACTTAATTCTCTTAATTCTGAGGTAGCTACCACTACCACCTTAGCTCTACCATCTCTGATTCAGCAGAGAAGATTAAATATCCTCCCCAATGTCAGAGTTAGGAAATGCTGACAGGTTTTTGATCAACACTGTCAGATTCCACAACTCACACTTCCAGCCACAGTACAGTATCAATTTTGTATCTTTTTAGAGATAACAAATGGGGACTAGAGCAATGGCTTAGTAGTGGTGGTGCATGCCTTTAATCCTAGCACTTGGGAGGTGGCAGGCAGATCTCTTTGAGTTCGAGGCCAGTCTGGTCTACAAAGCATCTAGGGGCCAGGTCTACATAGAGAAACCATCTTGAAAACAAAAATGCTTTCGGCACAATCACAAGGTCTGGAGTTAAGATCTTAGTACTCATATAACAAACAGTATGTCCTGTAAATGCCTGTAACTTCAGCTCTGACAAATCCAACACCCTCTTCTGTGCACACACAGACTTGCAATATTGGCATATACACAGAGAAATACACACACAAATATTAAAATGCAACTATATGGAAGTCTATTTCTAAAAAATGCCTCCCCCCACATTTGTATTTTCTGAAGGATTCGAAATTAGATTTTCAAAGAGGTATTATAGAAAGTGATAATTAGCAATATGGACATTTAGGGTTAATATTAGATTCTTCTGTCATTTGGCTGTACAGTCCAGGAGATAACATCAAACTATATCTTAGTTACTTCTAAGAGTAAACATTGCTTGCTTATTTTTACTAATACAGTCGCTCTGAATGAGTGATTGAAAGCACAGTTATTAATTCCTGGTATAAAAATGTTCTTTCTTTCCCCTTCAAGATACATACCTTTCCAGTTAAAGCTGAGAGATCATCTCCACCAATAACTTTTATGTCCCCTGTTGACTGATCATTCTAGTTTAAAAAAAAATTATATGGATACTCTTGTGTAGAAACAAACTTCTCAAATTATTAGATGTAAGCTGTAAGAATTAAGAAGTTAGCTATCTAATGGCCACAACATTATCATATTCTTAAATTATAAAAATTGTAAGAATTAGGTTTCTAGAAATGAATGACTAGGTAAATTTCACATAGAGATTAGTAAAAATTAAAAATACTAAATGGTCATTCCTAGTATTTGATGCTCTGAAGAGTACTAAAAATCAAGAACATTCACTTCTGAGTGACCATATTATAGCTACTCATCAAATACTTCCCAATCACAAAGGACAATTTATTAGCACAGCAGGTGTCTGCTTCTGGCCCTGTATTATTCCTGTGAGTCACATTAGTTATAGGAGCTAGTCTTTGCCACATGTCACCCTGAAGATATGGCCCCCTAAAATAAGCCCATATCCTGGATATGCCCATATCCAGGTCATCTTCTGAACTGTCTGAGAAACCAGGTCTCATTACTAGTCTGTTAGAACATACTGCTTAGGTTCTCACATTCTGCTCTCAGAGAAATCAGCAGAAAACTTAACAGGGGTTTCAAAGGAGCGTGATTAACACTCACTATAAGTTGGTAGGAATAACTATAATTTGGATGTGCTGGAATCAAGACAAAACTGAATTGAAAAGAAGTAAGTAAAAGACCTTGGACTTGCTCTACTGGAATAGGAAAGTGTATCATAAACCACAGCAATTACTTTGGTATGGTACCAGCACAATGACTGACAAAAAGTTCAAGGAACCAAGTAAAACCCAGAAACAGACCCAAAAACATGTCAATTTAGTATATGACAAAGATGGTATTTTGAGTCAGTAATTAAAAGATGAATTATTCAACAAATGGTGTCTGATCAATTACTTGTCCATTTGGGAAAAAATAAAGCATGGTTCCTACCTCACACCATGCACAACAATAAATTCCACATGGATTAAAATCTAAATGTAAAAAATAAAACTATAAGTGGGTTAGAAGAAAATGTAGGGATATATTTTTTACCTCCATTCTTAGAAAGGGCAAAAAGTTAGTCAAAACCCAAATTGATGTAACCAGTATCCCTAATGCACATTACTCTTCAAAGTAAGAACCTACCAGATGGCACTGGAGAGCTGGCTTAGCAGTTAAGAGCACTTGTTGATTTTTGTAAAGGAACTGGGTTCAATTCCCAGCACCCACATGGTGGCTCACAATTGCCTGTAACTCCAGTTTTAGGCGATCTAACCTCCTCTTCTGGCCTCAGATGCATCAGGCATGCACATGGTGCACATACATACATGTTGACATCCACCCAAACACATAAAGATAAACAAGTCTTTAAAAAAAAACTACTTGAAAATAGCAAACACAAGTAGACCATTTACAGAAGTCCATAAATGACGGCTACTTAACAAATACTAAATGTGATTCAACTGCTCATCCATCCACATTTACAGAACTTAAGCCTGGCAATACACTGAGGGAAAACAAATATTCAAGTTGCTGGTTCCAATTAGAGAAACAAATTATGACCTCTTTTGAAAAAAAAAAAAAAAGTCTATTAAAATTGTAAACATGCAAACCATATTGGTATAACAATCCCATTTCCAAGAATCAATGTCACAAAAAACATTAATAAACATGCAAAGGAACATTCAAGGATGTTCACTATTATCAGTTATTCATCAAAAAAAAAAAATCAACATGTCTCTTAACAGGGAATTACATAAATCAGTGAGGTTAATACACAAAACAATAGCCAGGCTTGGTGGCACAAATCCTAGCATTTGGTAGGCAGAGGCAGTCATATCTTTGTGAGTTCGAGGCCAGCCTGCTCTACAGGATCAGGACAGCGAGGGCTCTGAGAAAACCTGTTTCAAAAAAACAAACAAAACGTAACAGTAATACAATGGAACTATTAAAAATAATCACACAATATATACTTATATGGATCAATAATAATTAATATCACCAAGTAGCAGACCAATATGCTACTATATAACTGTTTTTATTCTGTATTTAAAGTATGTTGGGGCAGGTATTCATGACATTCATAATATCTGTAATCAGAACACTATGGAGGCTGAGGAAGGATTGAGATTCTGAGATCACTGTGGGCTACATAAAAATTTACATTTTTCTGAAGGTTAGAGAGCAGTAGGAACAGAAAAATGTCTGAGCAAGTTAGTGAAAAAGAATCTCAGTCTAAAATTAAAAAAAAAAAAGAATGAGATCAGGCTCAGAGGTTAAGAGCACTAGTTGTTCTTCCAAAGGACCTTATCTCAAAAAAAATTTTTAAAGTGATAGCTCAGTTGGTAAAATGTTTACCTAGCATGTGTAAGGGGGAGTTAGGAAAAGAGGAACAAACATTCTATTAGTCCATGCTATAAACTAAATGCATGGCTTTTCAATTTTATTTCTTCATAATATTTCTTGTATTAATCTAGCCTAAAACCCAGAATTTCAAACACACAGAACTGATTAATGACACAAAGAAAAAGAACTGTACCAAACCTGAAACTATTTGCTAAGTGAGACATAGCAAAAAACAGAACATGGTAAATACTGACATCTTCTGCAGAAAGGTGGTATTACAGTCCAATGTCAATTATTTCCTTTTTCAAAGGAGGACAAAAGAAATAGCTATCTAAGAACGGAACTGTGATCCAAAGGCTATGACTATAGGGTCTGAGGCAACAGAACTCCAAAGCATACAAAACACTGGCAGGCACTCTACAAATTCCAAATTTCCATAGTCCCATTAACCTCAATGTTTCAGCTTACTTTTTTTTTTTTCAAGGAAACAGCCTCCTTTTACATGGAAGCTAATAAAAAAGGTTCATTTAATAGTTATGTGTCTATATTGTTTGCAAATGTTATCCTTAATAAACTACATAAATGACTAGAAAACCTACAGCAACCCATCTCTGTTTGGAATACAAATCTCACTGTACCCCTTAACTTGGTGCCTCTCAGAGTCCTTGTCTTTAATTATGACGGTAACCTCTATGGAGAAATGACTGGGATGAATGAAAGGACAGTCCTCTCCAGATTTGTTCTACTCTCTTTCTTCCCCCCTCTTTCCCCCTTCCCTTCATTAGGTAGAAGTGCCCAAGGTATCCCTCATTTAGGTGTCACTGTCAGTTACATCTGAATTTCTAGGAGACCAAAGAGGTAGCTCAGAGCATAGCCTTCCAGAAGATCCAGGTTCAATTCCTAACAGTTAGCAACTTTCTGTAACTTCAACTTGAGGGGATCAGACACTGTATTCTAACCTCTGTGGACTTCAGGTACACACAGGGTACACAAACATGTATGCACGCAAAACACTCATATACATATACACACACACATATAATTCCCAGAGAAGCTCTGGGGTCGGTAAATAAAAATTTAGTGTTTGTTTCTTTGTCTATCTCTTAGAGTCCAGAAGGGAAAATGGGGGTGACAGGAAAGGTTCATTTCTATTTTTCCATCCCTAGGATTTCTGAAAACCTCTTAATAAGAACCAGAGCTCCAGCTTTAGAGCATATTTGCTTATCATACTTGAGGCCTTAGAATCAAACACTCAAAATAAAATAATTACAAATTTAAAAACAAAACTCAAAACATTGTTTACTAACAATCCTTTCTTCCTAGGTCTCATTTTTTCTTCTTCAACCATTTTAGTAGAATTTTATCAAATTGAAATAAAAAAAGAAAAGAAACACATTTGTATACTTATCAAATTTACATTTTTCTGAAGGTTACAGAGCACTAGGAACAGAAAAATGTCTGAGCAAGTTAGTGAAAAAGGATCTCAAACTAAAATTTTAATAAATGAATGGGATCAGGCTCAGAGGTTAAGAGCACTGGCTGGTCTTCCAAAGGTCCTCAGTTCCATTGCCAGCAACCACATGGAGGCACAACCATCTATAGTGAGATCTGGTGCCCTTTTCTAGCATGCAGGTGTACATGCTGGCAGAACACTATAAATAATAAAAATCTTAAAAAAAAAAAAAAGAATTGGATGAAACTCAGTTTTGGAGTATTTAGTCAGGTCTTGCGTTCCAACCTCAGAAGAGAAAAATACAATAACCACAGTGACTCCACTATAACCAGGTGAGAACTTCAAAGAAAATATACATAAAACTAAAATTGCCCTATTTTTTAAAAAATTATAAAGTTATACTTACACAATAGCTCTTCAATCTTATAAAATCTACAGTCATAGGAATGGATCTATCAGTATTTCTATTCAGTGATTTAATGTAATCCAGTAGGTCAGCAAAGAATTTATAGCCCCCCTTGAGCACACAGAGGGCCACAATGTGATGGCCTCCCATCTCTTTCATGACATCTCGAGCAAGTCTTTCAGTCCTGCAGAAATACAATCAAGAATTAAAAAGATTCTGAATATGTTTTCTAACAAATATCTCTTAAGCATTAAACTTCCTCTTTGTCAGCATGAAGAGGATTATTGCTTCATAAAGCAATTTTTTATAAAGTTGGGCACTTAATTTCCCATATGCCAAAGGTAAGATTTTTGGGGGGTAGGGGAAGGTAACCCAGAATCCCTCTATGTACACCAGGCTAGACTATAAATCATGCTGAGATTATAGATAAACACTAATACACGCAGCTCAACCAAAAGTAAAATTCGGTATCTTTAAAAACAAAGCACATAACCAGGTGCAGTGACACATGCCTTAATCCCAGCATTGGGCCATCCTGGTGTATGAAAGATTTCCAGGACAGATAGGGCTGCACAGAGAAACTCTGTCTTGGGGGGAAAAAGCAAGGTACATGCTAGGCATGATGGTATATTATTATAATCCAGCATTCTATAGGCTGAGACATAAGGATTGCTGAGTTGAAGGGCAGCCTGGACTGCAGAGTAAATATTAAGTCACTTTAGGCTACAAAACAAGATCCTGTCGAGAAGACAGGTACACTATAATATGTATCATAAAATTTAAAAATATAAATAAAAACAAGATTTTTCAAAGCTTACTAGACGGTCAAAATTAAATTGTATTTCTCTAATATAAAATATTACAAGAGACTGAGAAAAAAATGAACTCTCACATACCATTGAAAGTATAAAATGATGTAACTTTTTAGAGGACAATCTGGCAGTATAAAAATTCAATAAATACCCATTCCTTGTTCCCTAATTTTTCCTTACCTAAAGCTGAGTGAGTGTCAAAATATGTGTAAGATATTCCCTCTAATATACTCTTGTAAGTGCAAAATAATGAAGATCTTAAGTGTCCATCAACAGTACACTGGTTACACCAGTTATAATACATCCATGAATAGCATGTAATCTTTAAAATAAATGTAGGGAGCTGGGGACGGAGATCAGCTGGTAGAGTTCTTGAATAGTATTCACAGGAGGTCCTGGGTTCTATCCTCAGAACTCTGCAAACTGAGCATGATGGACACCAGGAGTTGAAGCAGTAAGAACAGAAAGTCAGGCCATTCTCAGCTACAGGGATTTTGAAGCCAGTCTAAGCAATTCGAGGCTCCATTTCAAAAGCAAAATAACATGTATGGCTGGGCACCGGGGCATATACCTGTGATCTCCACACAGGGAAGGCTGTTGTGGAGGACTGCTGAGTTGAGGCCAATCTGGGGTATACACAAACTTTCAAGCCAGACTGAGCTAAACAGTGAGACCCGATCTCAATGAGCAAATATTTCACACGCACACACACACTCCTTGATTATGTTTAAAAGATAATAAAAAAACATCTGAATAGCTCTAGCTGTACTAATATTAAAAAGTCCAAAATTTAGTACTATATGATAATATGTAAAGTGTGTGTGTGTGTGTACACTTTACATACAATATATGAGCACAGGCAGTGTCTAGGTAGGAAATGTGTATAGGAAGCTGAGAAAACAGAATTATAATCTCATTTATAGCCTCCATAGATAGACTATTGGCAGACTATTTTTGTAGCCTCTCTTCAATGTACTCTATGGATTCCCACTATTTACACCTCAAAATTAATTAGTAAGGCTTCCTGCTGGTGTCTGTGTGTGAGTGAGATAGAGAGAAAAGGACTTTTTTTTAACATTTTTTTTTAAGATTTTATGCCTATCAGTGCTCTATCTGCATGTGCACCTGCAGGCCAGAAGAGGGCAGTAGAGGGTATAGATGGTTGTGGGTCACCAAAGGTTGCTGGGAATTGAACTCAGGATCTCTGGAAGAGCAGACAGTGCTCTTAACCGCTGAGCCATCTCTCCAGGCCCCGAAAAAAGGGACTTTAAAATAAAAAATATTGGGTATTAGAGAGTTAGGCAAGTAAGAGCACTTGCTGTTTTTGGAGAGCACCTAAGTTCAGTTCCCAGCACCCATTCAATGGTTCACAATGGTTTATAACTCTAGTTCCAGGGAATCCTTTACACACACTATTCCGGCCTCCTGGAATACATATGCTGCACATACATACATGGAGGTACTCACACATACAAATAAAATAACAACAATTTAAAAAAAAAAAACTTTAAAAAAAATCTAGCTGATGCAGTGGCACTCGCCTGTAATCCCAGCACTCTGGGAGGCAGGGATAGGCAAATCTCTGTGAGTTGAAGGCCAGCCTGGTCTACAGAGCAAGTTCCAGGACAGCCAAGGCTACATAGAGAAACTGTCTCAAAAAAAAAAAAATAGAAAACGTAGATTCAGACACCACCCCCCCCCCCCCCGTACTCATATGAAAACCAGGTGTGGCTGCACTTGCTTGCAATCTCAGCACTTGGGGGCAGAGAAAGACAGATCCCTGGCTCTTGCTAGCCAGGCAGCCTAGCCAAATCAGTAATGTCCAGGTTCAGTGAGAGACACTGACTCAAGGGAATAAGACACGGAGCAACAGAACACCCAGTGTCCTTCTCTAGCTTCCTGATATATGCATACACTACACACATATATCACATACCCACACATCACATATACACATATCATATGTACACATATCACACACACATTAACACCTAAAAAGTAAAATCAACCTTCAACTGAGCGCTTACTAACCTGTCCATAATCAGTCCATGAGGAATAAACACTTTCTCCAAATCCTCGGCATAATGTTTAGGTATACAAAATAAATCCAGGTCATAGCCTGGTTCATCATCGCCAATCTGAAAAAGAAAGACAGTGTTTCAAAGCAGAGTATTACAAGATATCCATGTTTAATTAAATTTAGATAGTAAGTCTTAATTCACCAGAGGAGTTTAGGTATGAGAGGGTATGAAGGGAAGCTAATTTTATAGTTTTTGTAATAAACTACACTTCTCTAAGAAAGCCAGGTCTCTTATTGCTAAATAAGGTCAAGAATGAGAAGTGAAACAACATAGAATCTTCTTTGGGTAACAAAGAGAAAAAGAAAAATTTAGAAGTACAAATGTGGCAAAAATATTTTAAGCATGAAAGACTAGTATACGCAGGCAGTTTCTACTCTATACATTTTGAGTGCATTTGAACACTTTTTTGTGTATGTTTGTGTATGTGTACATATTTACAGGCAGGTGCACGTAAATATGATTGAAACTGGCTCTAAAAATTTTCTAGCTGTGCTTCCAGAGTTCAATTCTTTCTCAGCGATCACATGGTGGCTCAAGACCATCTATAAAGGGATCTAATGCCCTCTTCTGGCATGCAGGTGTATATGCAGACAGAGGACTTCTACATTTAAAAAATACATAAATTATTTTAAAATAAAAATATAAAAAATTTACTTATGTTTTGAGACAAGATCTCTCCTTGAACCTGGTTAACCAATTTGGATAGTCTAGCTGGTCAGGAAGTCCCAGAAACCCCCTGTCTCTGCCTCCCCTGTGCTGGGGTCATAGGAATGTGCTTCTTATCCAGATACTGGTGTTCCAAACTCAGGTCCTGAATGAAGATGACATGGCAGGCACATTATAGACTGAGCCATCTTCCCAATCCCCAAAAATATGGTTTAACTTAACACAGTATATTTTAGTAAGTTAAAACATCATACAGAATAAAAATTAAAGCTGGTGTTAACCATCCAAATTCAAAGAATCCTCTTAAAGTGTGTGTGTCTGTGTGTGCGTGTGACCAAAACAAAGCAAAAAGAAAAACTTATTCTTTAAAAACTCAAACTTTCAAAAGTCTTGAGATGGTATCACAGAAGATACTCCAAAATTGTTTTGAGTTGTATAATATTGGTTATATTAGTATGCCCAGAGCCCAAGTATATAGAACATTCAGTGACATTAATGATATGGTACATGTTGGAAAAATATATTGTGGTCATTTTATAAATATACATGTACCTAGACACACAGGGGAGGAAAAGTACAGCAAAATCATAAAAGCAGGCTAAAGCTGCTGGACGCACCTGTTAACCCAGTACTTAAGAAGCTAAAGTAGAAGTTCCTGAGTTTGAGGCCAGCATGGTTTAAGTGAATTCCAGGTCAGCTAGGGACTACAAAGCAAGATCCTGTCTTTAAAAATATTTCCAAACTTCAAAATCATAAAAGCTGCTGTCTTTGACAGCGAGTGTTATAGGGAGATGGGGGTCTCATGTATCCAAGGCTGGCCTCAAACTCACTATGCAGCTGACCATAGACATTTGAACCATGTGCTTCTCCCTGGCCAATGAGCTATCATTGCCAGTTTATGGGGTTAGGTGTCAAACTCAGAGCTTCATGTCATACAAGGCAAGCACTCTACCAACAGAGCTATATTCCCAGCCCTAGTTACACTAAAAACAAAACAAAACAAGAAAACTTTAAAAGATCATTTATCTAATAATCAAAACTTATTGAAAGAAATAAGCCAGGAAGAGTATCTTTCATGATATTCTTCAAGACTTTCAAACCCCATCTAAGAAGCTGGCAGTACCTGGAAATGTATCATAGGAACTAGAACATCAAGCTACACATGGTGCCACATACTTCTAAAGCCAGCTCTCAGGTGACAAAGGCAGGAGAATTATCACAGTTAGAGGCCAAGTTGGCCTACATAGTGAGCTCCTTCCTCCAATCCAAAAAAAAAAAAAGCCTCCAAACTAACTACACTAAATAAAGAAAACCTAGTTGTAAAAAGCTCTGGCAGTTTTCAAGGAATATTATCAAATCATAACTAAATCTCATCCTATTCATTGCAGAGTTCTTTTTTGCTATTTTTTGTTTTTTAATACAGTATTCTGCCTGCATGTGTGTCTGTATGCCAGGAGAGGGCACTAGATCTCATTATAGATGGTTATGAGACACTTATGTGGTTCCTGGAAATTGAACTCAGGAGCTCTGGACCAACAGCCAGTGCTATTAACCTCTAAGCCATCTCTCCAGCTTCCTTCCTTTTTTTTTTTTTTTCTTGAGACAGTTTCTTTTCATAGCCTTGGCTGTCCTGGACTTGCTTTGTAGACCAGGCTGACCTCAAAGTCACAGAGATCCACCTGCCTCCACCTCTCCAAGTGCGGGGATTACAGGCATGCCGCACTTCACCTGGCTCCTACTGAGTTATTTTGTTTTGTTTGTTTCAGTTAATATTGCATTGGATCCTTTGGCATCAAGTAGTTTACGTTTGAAAAGTGAAAAATACATAAATTTACATTCTTTGCAGAATTCACTTCCTATTGTTTTTGAGACAGAATCACATCATATAGCTCATGCTGGTTTGAAACTCACAACCCTTCTCCTTCCTAAGTGCTGGAACTGTGAACACCCACCCAGCTCAGAATTTAGATATATTTTGAGGTTTCACCCAGAGGTCAAAAAAAAAAAAAAAAAAAAGAGGGTTATAGAGTCTCTTTTAAGTTCCAAAAAGTCTATTTTTAGTTCAGCCTTTGGTAGAATTGTATTTATTTTCAGAAGTAAATATTAATTTATTCTTAAATATACATGTTTTTACATAACAAAAATGTTTAGGATACGTGGCAATTTCTTAAAAAAATTGGAAGAGCTAATGTATCTGCTTAACACTCAGTATTTTACAAGAAAGCATTCTTGTAAGTATTATAAAGCAAAATTTAATTCATGTTTTGGGAAAAGATTGATAGACTACTCAATTTTATACTAATAAACATTCATGTCAGGCTCATCAGAATGTATGTAATATAACCTGGCAAAAATGAAGTTCAATCATTTCAAAGTACCTTAGACTCAAGATTAGAATACCACAATGTCTTTCCTGAGGCAGACTCATGCCCTCCACCCAATCACTCCGCTTCTGGCACGAGTTCAAACCATATCACACCCAAGTTTCAAACTACTGTCTCCACCTACTAAAATGGCTCAGTACCTCAGGTAACCTAAGAACTTTTAGGATTGTTTGTTTCAATCAAAAGACAAATTCAATGTGAACGCTGCCCAGTTCATCCCAGTCTTTTTATGTGTGTTTGAGACAGGGTCTTAGTATAAAACTCTAGCTGCCCTAGATATATAGACCAAGCTGGCTTCAAACTTGCTGTGACCCTCCTCCCTCTGTTTCTTGAGTGCTAGGATTACAGGTGTGCATCCAACTCCCAGTCATGTATTCTAAGAATATAACAGATCAGGAGGAGTTACCCCAAAATAGGAATTTCATTTCTAGCAACACAAACTGTTTTCCAATGCAAAATTTCTAATTAAAACAGGTTTATGTCTCAGAATTCTTATTTTGTTCCTTCAAAATATTGATATTTCGTTATTTTAAGAGTAAAAGTTTTAGCCAGGCTTGGTGGTGCACACCTGTAATCTCAGCCCTAGGGAGGCAAAAGTAGGTGGAGCTCTTTGAGTTCAAGGATAGCCAGGACACAGAAAAATCCTGTCTCAAAAAAAAAAAAAAAGAGTAAAACTTTTGTTAATGATGATATCAGGCAGTCTTGACTATGTAGCCTACCCTAATCTGAATCTTATGACAGAGTACAAGCTATCCTCAAGTCTGGGACAATCTTCCTGCCTCAGTTTCCCAAATGATAGGGTTTACAGGGATGAGCTATTATATCTAGTTTATTGAAACCATACTGATACAATTCTTCCCTAAAAGGCAAAAACAAAGAGTCTTACCTATTGTCACTTGAGATACCTGTGGGTATTCATGTGGGTATGCAGGTGTAAACTCAGGTGCACATATACAGAGGCCACACCCAGCAAGTTCTGTCCATTCTAGAAGTTTGGACATGTTATTTACCAGTTATAAAACTAAATGCATTTTTTTTTATTTATCTGTTATTCTCACCCCCATGTTCCTGCCCCATCACTATGTATCCTCGTCTAGCTTGAAACTCTTGGCAATGTTTCTGTTCCTGCCTTTCAAGTTCTGGGATTACAAGTATGTTCCACTACACCTGGCTTATTCTTAATTCACAAGTTTTCTTTTTTGAGATAGTCAATTCACAAGTTTTCTTTTTTGAGATAGTCTCATGAGCTCACACTGGCTTTGTGCTCACTATGTAGCTGAGGATGACTGAAGCTATCCTGTTTCAGCCTCCCAAATGCTGTCATTACAGGCTTTTACCACCATGCTTAACACACATAGTTCATTTTAAGACTCAGTTCCATTAATCTAGTCTTGTTTGGACTCATGAATAATGATTTTTTTTTAATACAAAGAGACTTAAACAATCCTGGTTGTAGATGATGAACCAATGTTCCAAAGGTTGTATTATCTTAGGTTCATTTCTTTTTTGATATAATTTTTGATGATGTATTTGTGTAACAAGAAATTTTATGTGTAGACTATAAAAATTTTCATGTGACTGCCATTATTACAAATGTGCACATTTGGCGGCTGGAGAGATGGCTCAGTGGTTAAGAGTACTGTCTGCTCTTCCAGAGGTCCTGAGTTTAATTCCCAGCAACCACATGGTGGCTCACAACCATCTATAATGTGATCTCGTGTCCTCTTCTGGCATGCAGGTATATAGAGCACTCATACACATAAGGTAAATATTTATTAAAAAACAAATGTGCATATTTTATAATAGGGATTTGTGCTGGGCATGGTGGCACATACCTATAATCTCAACATTCAGAAGATTGAGACAGAAGAGTCTCAAGTTTGAAGCCAGCCTTGGCTACATAGTGAGACACTAACTTAATTCAAATGTATTAAAATTCTCCAAACATTTAAGCAGATGATAGGCTATCCTTTTGAAATAATTTATATTACCTCTGGATATGATTAA